TTTGCTTTTATGACTCCTATTTTGAAAAATCATAATGTGACGTGATGTGACACACTGGTTTTATCTAGGTTAGCTGATAATGAAATGCTGCTGCTACCTTAATTTGTCTAGAGATGAAATGGTCGTATAAATTAATTTTAATTAGGCGTTATTATTGTTGTTTGGCCAGGAGGTGGTTTGACATCACGCGATGAGTGCGTGGATTAATATTTGAAAGTTCCTGCAGAGTTTTAGGACAATTTGATCCAGATATAAAAAAGCAAGTTAGATTGAATTTAGTGAGTGATTTCTGCTATTCATTTAAACTCAGTTAACGAGCAATCAGTCCATAACATATCCACTGTGTCTGTTGCTGTTTGTGTTGTAAACTTTGAGTTCGTATTTTCGACAAAGTACAAAAGATGTTCATATTGATAAGTACATGTGTAATTGGAATTTCTGTTTAGTCGTTGTTTATTTGTGAAGTTAGGTCTATCGTTAGTCACGTAAAACCGTGAAACTAACTTGCAAACGTTACAATTTGTAGTCGAAGAATTAGTTTTTTAGTGCAAAGCCGCATTGGGCTATCTGCTGTGTCAACCGCGGGAAATCGAACCCCTGATTTTAGAATTGTAAGTCCATCAAGTTGTGTTATCCCACCGGAGGACTGTAGTTGAAGAAATCAAAAGCTTTTGTTATCATTAAATGGACTGGACTTTGCATTGTTCTTTTTACCGAATAATGCAAAATAATCCGCCCAACAACAGAAACCGCTACATCAACAACAACAGCAAAAAACTATTAATGATTATATTATATATTTATTTTATTTTCACCAAAGGTAAAACATTAATAACAAAAAAACTGTTGTAGGTAATCCCCGTTCTCTACAAATTGTAGGATGCGGGTAGCCTTAGTAGCTTTGCCATAAATACAAAATGCAAATTATAATATAATTTCTGTCATGCATATTGAAATATAAAATACATTTTAATTCTAGAAATAATCTTAGGACACTGTATTTTATTAAATTGTACACTCAATATTTTGCTTTATGGCTTCTTAAGATTGTATTAAAAGAAAACACGAAATCACAAAACAGGTTGGTTATATTTCTCTTTTCTATTATGAATAATTAATAACAGCAATATTTACAAAGAAGAATAAACATCTAAGAGTAATTCAACGAAACCAAATAATTTCAAATATTTCCCAAGACAAGTTTTCCAATTTCATCATTTGGATCCTCACGAACATTAAGTTAGACATCTCATGTAAAGAGAAAGAATGTCACTCAAAAATTGATAAGAAATCGAGAAGTATTATGATGAAACCAACAACAAATTCAGTTCTTTCACCACAAATATTAATAACGGCCAGCAAAGTTATGTTTAAGACCCCACAGAGAGAACTCGAGCCTTTCATAGAAAGAGAACTGACAGATGAACAAGCTGGATTCAAGAATGGTAGAGGAACGCGAGATCAGATAGCCAACATAAGGTGAATTATGAAAAGAGCAAGAGAATATAAAAAAGATGTTTCATTGACTAAAACAAAACATTCAATTGCGTGGACCCTGAAGGACTTTACAATGTACTCAGAAAAATTCGTGTA